AGGAAATATAAATTGATACTAAGGAAGTATTTTCGATTTAGACAAAGTTTAGAAACTTATTAACAATCTCTATAAGGTAGGTGCGGTGAATATGCCCATGCAGGTAATATGCACACCCGCTGCCATTTTAAAAAGTTTAGCTTATATGCTAATAGAGGGCGACCAACGCGTTAAGATTTTGCACTTACAGCGGTACAAGTCAAATCAGTCTCTGCTAGTCTTTGCCCAGTGGCTGAAAATGAATCACCCGTTTTGAGCGCTGTCGAGTATAACAATAACACGTGTTTAAAAAGAGTGTAAACTTTGTGTGTGTTTGTTTACAAAAATTGTAAGTAAAGCATTTTAAAGTACGTCTATTTACCATTTTCTTAGTATATAATTTTAATAAAAATACTTTGAAATTAACCTTCAAAACCTAAAAAAATACATAACCTTTTTCTGTTGCTAATACGCCCATCGTCATCGGAAGCAAATATGCCCATATGGGCATATTACCTTCGGTTCGTAGTGGAACGTTTATTATTAGTTTAAATTTTTGTTTTACAGATGTCACCTTATAAAACAAAAGGAATTCGGTCTCAGTGGACGGAGGAAGACCTTAAACGCGCCCTTAGAGCGGTAGAAAACGGAGAGTCGAAAAACTCAGCATCTAAGCAATATAAAATACCGCGAAGGACTCTTAAGCGTTATATTGACAAAAAGACTAACGTAAAACAGCCACTTGGTAGAAAAAGTGTTCTGAATAAAGACCAAGAAACATAATTAGCGGCCCGAATTATCAGGCTGGCGCAGGTGGGTTACCCACTTACAAAACGAATGCTTCGAAGATCTGTGTATCATTATTGTGAGCAAAACGGTTTACCTAACATGTTCTCACAAGAAAAGCGTCTAGCTGGCCGTCACTGATTAAAAGCATTTTTAAATAGACACCCAGAGATTTCTCCTAGACGGCCCAGAACATGAACCCGGCGAGAGCACAAAAGCTCAACAAATATATTGTTTCCGATTACTTTGACAAGCTTAAAACAGTGCTTCTCGAACTGGACCTGAACGAATTTATAATATGGATGAAAAGGGGTGCAGGTTAACATTACATCATCAGCAGACTATTCTAGCTAAAAAGGGCATAAAAAGGGTTCACCTAGTGGCACCAGAACACGCGGAAAATGTTACTGTCGTTGCTTGCGGTAACGCCAGTGGAGGAAGAATTCCCCCAGCCATTTTATTCAAAGGCATAAGGATGAAAAGCGAATGGAGTGACAACTTGCCACCCGGAACTCTAGTCCTCATGACGAAGAAAGCAAGCATGACAATTGAATCATTTATCGAATGGCTAAAGCACTTTGGCAAATATAAACTTCCAGGCAACTGCCTTTTAATCTTTGATGGCGCATCTTGCCATTTAGATCCTTCTATTGTTGAAACTGCAGACTCTTATGGCATCACCCTTTTATGTCTCCCAAGTAATACGACACATGAACTGCAGCCAATGGACAAGGCTGTATTTAAATCTTTCGAACATCATTGGGATGAACAGGTACTTTTATACTGGACTCGCCACAAAGACCGAGCTATAACCAAACAAAGGTTTGGGGAGCTCTTCTCTATCGTTTGGGACAAGTCAGTAACACCCCAAAATATAAAATCAGGTTTCTCTGCTACGGGTATCTATCCGTACAATCCAGATGCTATTCCCGAAGTAGCTTTTGCTCCTAGCATTTTAACGGAACGAGATAATAACATGGAAGAAATTAACAGACTAGAAGAAAGACAAGAGCTTAGAAGGGAAACCACACCCCAACCTGGACCCTCTCGATGTCAACAAAGGAATGACCGAAGCACCATAGAAAAAACTCCTCCGTCAAAGATCTCCAATTATCCTGAATATTTTGGACAAAAACGCCAGAGTAAGAGAAAACGGTCGTCATCAAGTAGCTCCTCATCAACAGATGATAATATGTCTTTATACAGCGAGACCTTAACAGAAACGTTCTCTTCGGAAGACGAGGCAAAACTTGATGACGAATCGGCAACATTGGATGACGAAGAGGCTAAAAGGCCGAACATCAGAGAACAAAGGGCGTTAAAGAATTTAAAAATGGACGCAGAAAACCAGAAGTCAATCAAAAACATCCAGAGAGAAGATGAGGACCAAAAATCAAAGGACCCGCCTAAAGAGGAAGAAAATAACACAAAGACAAGAAACGATGCAGAAGAAAAGGTTTTAAACGTGAGTTTTACTGAAATGTTGGAGACACCATATAAAGATGTCCCAAAAACAACTAGAAAGAAAAAAGCTATTAACAGCAAAGCGCTTATTGTGAAAAAGGCAGTTTTTCCCACCAAAACCACAAAAAAACTTACCAAAGAAAAAAAAATCGTTTTAAAAGACGAAGATAAAGGAGAAAAAATAAAACCCAAAGAATCGTGGTACTGCAAAGCTTGTCAAGAAGACATAAAAAAAGATATGCGATTGTGCTCGATGTGTTTAGTTTATTTTCACGAAGAGTGCGTCGGGCTCACCAAAGGTGATAAGACAGTTTTTGTTTGTTCAGACTGTGGCTAAGGTTGTCAGAAATTTTACTGTCTACTTACCAGTGTAAAGTAATGTTTAGTTTTTCAGAAATATTTTAATTTTGGGTTTGTTTATTAGTTTGTTATCCTTTTTCCGAAAAAATATACTTAACCGACGAAGGTTGTATGCTTTTGTTAAAATAAAATAATGGGTATATTAGGAACATGACATGGGCATATTAGGTTCACCCTATGAACATATTAACGACAGGGTTAGTAATACGCCCAGTATGACGCGTTTTTAAAAAAACGATATAAAAAAATCTCAAAGAAAAAATCATGGATTTCTGTCCAAACATTACTTCTTTGAGTTTAAAGGTACGCTTTCTATAAAAAATCGAATTGAAAGGTTTGTCGTTTCTAATTTTTATCAAGGATTCTGCTTAATATGGGCATATTCACTGCACATACCTTACCTATAAAAAGTGTAGAGGGTGTTTGTGTAAAAATATGAGAATTTGCGAGAATGTATAATTTGAATATTTAGGGTTGGAAATGGCAAAATTTACGCCATACCACTCTGACAAGAAAAAGAACTCAAGCAGGATATTACGAAAATAAAACGTCCTAGAAAATGTTAAATAAAATTTGAGGTGAAGTAAATATTAAACTTAAAAAAAAAAGAATGTATGAGAATTTATCAAGGACTATACGAAAATGTATAAGGATTTGTATGGAGAATATGTATTGGAGTTTGTGAGGATGAATGAAGAACTTATGAGGATTTTTTTGGATGTATGGGAGATATTTAAGGATTTACAAGAAAACATGAGGATTTATAAAGATTTATTACTACTAAAAGAATGTAGGTTTGCAAAATTTAAGTTAGTAAATTTGCTTCTCGATAGATAAATATAATTTTTCTCTATAATTCAGGTCATTGGTTTATTTAGTTTATTTAAATAATACTTAGATATGGTTGCAGAAATCTTTATAATGTAAAATAGGTAAAATTTGACAGATATAGATGATCAACAGAAACAATCGTCAACGTTATTTGTTTTTCGAAACTATATAATAAAAAAAAACTACAATAGCTTTAAAGACTACTTTGTTTTTTTTTTTTTTTAATTATACTCTATTCATTATATATATTATTCATATCCGATTCAAGATCAGAAATGCGATAAATATATTTAGCGTTACTAGTAAAGGGCATCCAACAAGTGAAACCTAAAAATAAATCATTGTCTAGATGTCTAGCCGCTGTAAGCAGAATTAAAATAAATAACCTTTTCTGTTTGTCCCCTTGCCATTGCCAGTGGGTAATGTAAAATGTAAGTACACAGAGGTTGGTGCCAAAAATTATCCGAGTAACTATCACACTGTTACAAGCTGTTATTAATAGAGGCTTGAAAATGGAGATACTCGAAAATAACCTTTAATTTAAGCCTATGATTTTTTAGACTTATAAGATAAATAGGGATTGTTCAAAGGGACTTATTTATCTAGCCTAAAATAGCATAATTATTGATAAAAAGTATATATTTTTTACCATTTTAAGTCTAATATGTTACTTTTTACAATGTGTCTCAAAAAATATATATAGTAATAGGAATACTGTCTAGTTACATAAAAAAATGGGGCACACTAACGAACGCCAATTGATATGTCTGACATCTCAATCCACCAGCTCAGAAACCTTAATTTTACATCTTCTTGAGCGAAAAATAACATCAAATCCATTCTCCTTATTTCAGTTTTATAGTGGTGTTATAGTTAAGAAAAAGTTTATTTCAAAATAAACTACAATTATCTACAAAGCAAAAAAAATAAAAGAGAAATGAAAAAATTTTTAAATTTTTTTATAGGCACCATTGTTTGTACAACTGTTGTCAGATTTTCAAGCGAATTAGGCGTAACGCAGTTATCGATCCTTAGTAAATAAACAGTTCATGTATTTTCTTATTCATAAATAAAAAAAAAAAAAATAAAAAAAAAAAGAAAGAAAAAGAAAAAAAAATAATAATTTTTAAATTTTTTTTGTATAAGTTGTATTGTTTGTACAACTGTTGTCAAATTTTCAAGCAGGTTAGGCATTAACATATCCCGTCACTATCTAACTTAAGTAAAGCGTTCATGCCACTTAATCACAAATAAAAAAGTAGAAGAGAAGCCACTTGAGTACAATTTTTCCCAGATCTGGGGAAAACTCAATGAATTTTGTAGATGTGGCAACGTCGCATTACATGGAGTAGATGGTAAGTATTTTTAAATTTCCCCAGATATCGAGTGATTTTGTAGCCAGCTGCGTCGTGACACAATGCGATGTTACCGTTTTTCTGGCTACAAAATCGCTCGATATCTGGGGAAATTTAAAAATACTTACCATCTACTCCATGTAATACGACATTGCCAGATCTGGGGAAAAATCGAAAATTTGTACTCGAGTGGCTTCTCTTCTACTTAAAAATCAAATATATAAAAAATTAACGAAGACGTTTATTATAAACAATCCACAACTATTTACAATCCAAATCTGGGATTGGTTCCGTAGTTTGAATCACCAATTCATCAGTCGATTCACTTTTATCCTTCATTTGGTCCCTTTCTTCTTGCCTTTCCAGTTCTTCCAATTCTTTATTTTTCTTATATTGCACCGCGTAATAAATAATTTCAATGGCTATAGCGAACCAATCGGCGATAGTCATCATAAACAATCCAGTTTTGTCGGGATCTTCCCTTTCGGGATGATTTATATTTCGCAGGTCACAAAATTGTTCTGAAAAAAAAAAAAAACAATATTACGTGTTTTGAAATGTCATATTTTCATGAGATGCCTATAAATATGATCAAAATAAAATTGAATTAAATAAAAACGTATAAAAACGTATAAAAACGTATAAAAACGTATAAAAACGTATAAAAACGTATAAAAACGTATAAAAACGTATAAAAACGTATAAAAACTTATAAAAACGTATAAAAACGTATAAAAACGTATAAAAACGTATAAAAACGTATAAAAACGTATAAAAACGTATAAAAACGTATAAAAACGTATAAAAATGTATAAAAACGTATAAAAACGTATAAAAACGTATAAAAACGTATAAAAACGTATAAAAACGTATAAAAACGTATAAAAACGTATAAAAACGTATAAAAACGTATAAAAACGTATAAAAAGGTATAAAAACGTATGAAAACAAATAAAAGCGTATAAAAATGTATAAAAACATATCAAAACGTTAAAAAAGTTATAAAAACGTATAAAAAACGTATAATAACTTATCAAAACGTATAAAAAACGTATACAAAACATAAAAAAACTTATAAAAACGTATAAAAACGAATAAAGCATTTAAAATTGTATAAAAACGTATCAAAACGTAAAAAAAAACTAATGAAAGACTAACATTATTTACATAAAACTATTGAGTATGTTTATCTAAATAAAATACAATCATATTATAGTATGGTTTAACTATTAAGTACGTGAATTTCTGAAATTACTAAGTGTTCGACAAGATACCCCAACAGTTGAAATTAACACAATATAAATAAATTTGTAATAATTGACTTTGCTATATCACCATTCACATTATTTTGATTACTTTTAGAAACATTTTCAATATCTACAGTTGCTAAAACAGCCTAATAATCTGTCAAATTTACAAGATTGTCATCAGAGTGTACCAACGAGACTCAAACCAAAATGCCAATTTCAAATGAACCTAATGGTTATGTTAAATCAAGAACTTATTCAAATGAAAGTAAAAAAAAACTATTAGTGCTTAACTTAACTCCAATTTACTTCAAAACTTAACCTCTCTATTCTCAATTCTTAATTAGTACTTAAATCAACAATTTCACGTATTTCGCTCAAAATCAAGTCTAAAAGTACTTAATTGTTGGTTAAATTAAGCACCCTTTTTCTGTTTGCATCAAAAAATATCTGCAATTAAAATATTTTGTTAAGAAGCACGTCCTTTTTGAAAAATGATTGGTTTGCAACTTCAAAATCCAAAAAATTCTACATAAACTGACTGTTTGACTTTTCGCAAGAATTTGACGTTATATAGAACGTCCTGAAATAAGTAAAATTTTGTGAAAACTGATTCAACAACTCTGCATAAGAGTGCACAGATTTTAGAAATTCTATAAAGTTCTCAGTCATTGAACTCTTTAATTACAAATGGATTATATGTAGATTCCTTGGAACCATGAAATTATGTTAGAAAGGTTTATTCAAAATATTCTAATGTTCCTTTAAATTAAAACTGTTAATAATGATATTAATAAACTTTGGGATATTAGGCTTTATCTGATTTGAACACCCAGTACCTACCCAAGACAATGTCCGATAAATTCCTCAGCCTAACACAAACCAAAGGAGGAACAGGATTTCTAGCCGCGAACCGCATACTCTTCACAAGCAATTTATAAGCGAATTTGTAGGCGCAATCTTCTTGAGCTTTCCTTCTTCGTCTCAGAAATTCGGCTCTCAATTTCCTCCGCAATTTCCTTCTAAGCGCTAGCTTCCTCGCCTTCTCCAGCGCCTCTTGGAAGTATCTTTCAGTTTCCTCGGGCGTCATGGAGTACAGTTCTTGTAGTCTGGATTTGATGAGTTCCACCCTAGGTCTACAAATAAGATTGTTGGTAAGTTGTGTTTAGAAGATCTGACGGAACTAAGCAGTCAATACAGAGTGATCTCAGGCTGTATACCATGCTACGAATTAGCCCGAGAAGGCTTAGATAAGGCCAACACAGGTTCCGAACTCTTCTATGGAGTTGCTAAGGTATTGTGTATCAAACAATGGTTGGACAAGATGGAAAAGAAGTCTTAGAAATTATGGAAGAAATATCCGGGTATGACACAGACCAAAGAAAGTAAAATCTAGTCTAATTCAAAAACTAGATATAGAGAAGGTGGAAAATTTTAATAATTTTTTTAGCTCTATGTTTACTGAAAATGGAGGACATGCAGAAGAAATCAAAGCTAAAATAAAAAAGGGACAATGTGTGCTGGGGAAATTATGATAAAAGTCTTAAGATCAAAAGTAACATCTATCAAAGCTAAGATTAGGATATATAAGATTGTAGTAAGACTATAATAAGATATAGAAAACAAATTTAGAATATGAGGAAGATGACAAGATGGTAAATAATTAATGGGGTTTGGCTTAGAAGAGAATTTCAGGAGCTATATGACTTATACGTTTTAGAACAATTTGAAACTAAGTATTAGATTTTCAACTAAAAACACAGACGGTAAAAAAATGTAGAAGTTTTACATTTTTGCTCTATAGTAAGTAGTACACATAGAAAAGGACAATTTGTAATAAAAAGTTCTAAATATTTGTTTAAAATATATTTTGAAATCCATCTGGCCATATCACTGCTATCTGACGATTGATTTATTTCACAAAATGTTCATCAATAGAAAATTTTTGACTTATTGACGTGACTTAGAATTTTTACAATATTAGGGAATATTTTTTAGTAAAATGTAATTTTTAACATAAGTAGGAATGTAAGTCTACTTCATAGTCATATTTTTTCCCGTCTAAACTTCTTTTTCGAGGAATTCCTCAAATTGAAAAATCGAATGAAAAATTAAACAAATTACTAATAGATTTTTAATTGTTTCAAAATAGGACGATAGGAACTTAAAAAAGCAGCAAATTTTGCAATTTTGGCTATTTTAAATCTAAACTACTGATTTATAAATATAAATAGGTAAAATTACTTGGACATGTGGTAAGCATGGCATTTGTATACTCCCAAAACTCTCTCTCCTTTTGGTATGGCTAATCTATCGAACAACGATAGACATGGAGGTTGATAGTCTGCGCATGCGCATTCTTTTTCGATTTTCTTTCTTATATCGTCGTCACACATTTTTATTGCTTTATTTTATAGATATATTTCAAATTGAAACTGATTTTGGTTGAATTTAACTAATTCACGTTGATCTAATTTAAAATGATTTTTAAACCTGACATTTTTGACACATTATAATTATGTCATTTTATTAATTTGATTTATTCTCAGTTTTGGTATCCATGGGCGTAACAAATAATTTTTTTATCAGAATCCAAATGATTCATTTGTAGATATTTTGTCAAGGACAAATTTAAAGAAAAATGCATTTAAAACAAAAGATGAAGTGACGAGACCTTTAAACCTTGACTAGTGCCATTAATTACATTCAGATAATATATTTACATTTAAATAAAACACTAAAATCAATTAACTGTAGCTTTATTAGTATCAAATAGTAACATTAAAATTTTCTATAAAAAATGTCTCCAACTCTAGCAAAATTTTCAGTGATTTTTTATCGATTCAGGTTCTATTTGTTGTTTTAATAAACTAAAATATTTCTTTATCATAAATAATAGTTTTATAGATGAGAAAGGTAAAGATACCTGTAGTCGACACCTTAAGAAAAATATAATAAGAGCTTACGTTTCTCTTGTAATGCCCTTTTCGATGGCAGGAGTTGTTTCAGGAAACTACCCCGGTAAGTACACCCCACCGATAATTGGAACAATCTCTTGGGGCTGAGACAGGCCAAGATACTTCTGGGTGAATATAACCAAAAAAGATCGGAAGCCTGCATCTGCCTGAGCAAGAACAGGCTACGTATTGTAACAGGGATCCTTACCGGGCACTGCCGACTAAAAGGACACCTAAGTAAACTGAGAGTAGTAGAGGATAGTGAGTGCAGATTCTGTGAGGAGGAGGACGAAACCTCCATTCACATCCTAACTGAATGTGTAGCACTCCAGAATCCAAGGGCACTATATCTAGGAGGATATCAAATAGAAGAGGGAGACTTACCTAACTTGAAACCACTTCAAATCCTACACTTCCTTGAGAAAATAGGATTGGAAGGGTCGCTATAGGCATTGAGACATTTCCTTAGTGCAGTGGCGACAGAAGGGGGCACAATAGATCTTTTAGGTCGCAGTGTATTAACACCCCATTATCAACATAACATAACACCCCTTTGATATATTTACTCGGTTACTAGTGGTTCCTTTTTCCCTGTTGTAGATAGCCTCAGGCGTCTCGGTGTTCTGCAGGATTCCGCTCCGATAAGTTGGTAGAAACTTAACTGGTTCAACCCTTGTGCTGATAGCAAGGATAAGAAAAGAATGGCGGTTATGGAAACCCTAGACTATGATGATTTTCCCGGCGTTATATTCAGGCTCAAAGAAAGGAGACCACTGATGTAATGGGGCCTCAAGGTGTAAACTGATATAGAGTCAAAAGAAAATCCATAAATTGCGATAAATACTTAGATCCCTAGGTCTATTAATAATTATTTTTGACAATGATCTATGTCCTTATACTTGGAAAAATTCGGAAAACCGTTACGTGCAACTCACGAGAACCAAGATCTAAGGACAGTTTTTTTCTTCAACCCCAACCAAAAAAACAAAACCAAAAACCGTTAGGCAAAATGGAGGCGAATCCCACCAAGAAAGTTCTTCTTGTCTAATTATATTTTGAACTGACAGTCAAGGTCTCAACCTTCAAAGTCGCCATTTGGGACCACCTCCTAGCCGAGAAGAATATTCGACAGCCGTCATATTTTGTTTGCTAACCTCACTTAACTATGTTGTTGTGATCGACTAATAATGTTTAATTTATTTCTGGTCATTAAAACGAAGAAGATCTAGAAACGAAGGAGATTTAGAAATACTTTTCCCTGTGGACACAATAGTCCTTTGTACGATGTTACCTTACTTATAATCTTATAAATAAATGTTTTATGAAGTGTGAAGAGTTTATTTACCTTAGAAAAATGCAAGAAAACCACCAAAAGGGCGGAACATTTGGTGATTGTAACAGTATTGATGCCAGTTCTTCAAATTATATTTAGTTCTAGTAGTTCATATGTATATAAAAGTAATGTTACCTTTTCTTCAGTATTTTGAGGTTGGTGGTCATGACAAAATTTCCATAAATTAAATAAAGATGTGTCTTCATTAGGCCCTTTCCATTCATTTTGACTGTCCATAAAAGATGTTATTTTATCCTTGCCGATTTCATGTTCTAATTTTGTAAAAAATTGTTTGTTTTCTGCAGTTTTTTTCATATTTAAAGTTTTAGTTTCTGCACTTGGTTCTCCATTAAACCTTAACTGCCTTTGAATTCCAAGGAACTAAGCCACATCTTTTAAATTTTTTTTTGTTAAATCTTTAATATGAGGAAGAACTTCTTTTAATACTGTTGCAAAATTGTACTTATTAGGAGGCTCTGCAACTTTCTGTCTCCAAATGGTTTTTAAGACATGAAATACAGATGCATCCATAAGCTGCATAATATTTTTGTCAATACAAAATAGGTGAGAAACATGTCCATCTAATACCATCACAACTGGTCTGGGAATACCCTTACCAGGGTACTGAAATATTAGCAATGTATTAACCAATTAACTGATTCAGCCCGTAAGAGCTATATCTTTACCGGTTGGCAGCTTTCCTATTGCTGGCAATTAAGGAGCTGAGTGGTGACTTGACTCTGTGATTCCTAAGTGAAGATGGATTGTCCATTTCAGGAATGAGACATAGGTTAAGGGACGAGGTGACTCTGCGCCTGAGTTCACCCACCTTTAACATATGTGTTTCCAATATCATCAGGAAACACTCTATAGGGTATTTCGGGAATGGGTGGTTTTGCCTGATCTTGAGTTGATCAGAGGAGAGCCTTCGATCAGCCTCTCAATTATAGTTATCGTTAGTTTAGTTAAATGGGGGTTATTTTGTATTTACGTGATTTTTAGCTTGGTAGATGCTACTCGGTGGTCCTTGAAATTAATTCCTAATTTTTGTTTGTTTGTTTGTTTGTTTAACCAAGTTCATACCTTGTGTAGTACGAGTCTACCTTGTGTATTTTTAATTTGACAAATACTAAAATTTGCTAGGGCTTGTTATTTCTTAGACTTGATCCTAAATTTGGTTTTTTTTTGTAGGGTAGCTATTATGATCTTTAGTTGGATAAATACAAGATTTGCTAAGGTTTTGTTAATTCTTGGACTCCTAATTTTTTTTGTTGGGTAGCTATTATGATCTTCATCGGATAAATACTAGATTTGCTAAGGTTTTGTTAATCATTGGACTTGATCCTAATTTTTTTTTTGTTGGGTAACTATTATGATCTTTAGGTGGATAAATACTAGATTTGCCAAGGTTTTGTTAATCCTTGGACTTCTAAAATTCTTTTCCTTAGAAGTTTGGAATCATGGGTGGCTTTGTTATTTATCACCTGGCCCCGACACTTATTGGGTAGGAGAGTTTAACTTTCAACTTCTAATCAAGTATCGAAAAATAATAAATACATACCGCTTAACCTTAAAAGTTCTGTAGATTCTTTACTATATAAAAAGGGTCAGGATAATAGGCCATATCTAGATATTTCGATTTTTGATAGGACATTTTCTGCTCTCCTAGACACAGGGTCAAATATTTATTATGAAGGAGGTTATATTGGTAGATCGGTATATCATATTATACTGATTTCGATTGGAAAGATTAATGTTGTTTACCTCTAACCTTAAAAAAAAACATGCAAAATAACCCTCGAAATTTGTTGAGAAAATCAAATCGTCCTACAAGTCGCAAGAATTAGTAGGCTGTCTATTCGATTAAGTATAAGTAGTATACGATTATTTCCAATTCCAAGGTTCACAGCTATTTCTCGGGAGCCGTATACATATATAAAGTGAGGATTTTTTTCAACGCGGCTTTAAGTGCATGCAGGCAACGTAAATAGAACGCGGAAGCTCTTCTAGCTCCCGAGAGAAATGAATATTTATATTATTTAAGTTTTTTCTCTTTTCTCGTTTTAGTTACAAACGCAATGAATGGGTTTCTTTTTACGATAAATGGCTTTATTTATCTCATTCGTTTACACGCATTCATAGTTTATGTTACACGGATTAAGAATTTCCTGAATTTTGGACAAGACATTGATTCGATGATATGTTGATTTGTTATTTCCTTAGTGACTTGTAACGGACATTATATTTATATTTTCACCAAAACTAACAGAAAATCTAGTTGTATTGGGAACAGTAATTAAAACTAGATGAATGAATAAAGGAGGGAAAAAGATCTTACCTTGTCTTCACATTTTAAATGTTGCAACACAAAAAACCTTAAAAAATATTAAAAATCTTATTTGTGTTGTATTTTTGAACGTTTTTCACCAAAGGTGCATGGATAGAGACATTAAATATTCCGTGAAACTGGGCAATAATATGATCTATTGCTCCTTAAAATGTTAGAATATCAAATTATACTTGAAAAACAAAAAAAATAATTATAAAGATGAAATTGTTAATCTTAAGACTGCTGTTCAAGAAAGAGACAGTGTTGCAGATTTGTTGTATTCCCTATACTTGTTCCGCCACTAAACATAGAGATTGTCATTGATATACAATTTATTAATTTTGTCAAAATAAACATCAAATACAGAAAATTATATATTTTTCCCTATTTCAATATACAAGTCCATTCGAAACTACAATTTAGGTTGAAACACATTCACCCAGACAGATATACATATAAAACGGTTGAAAAGAAGTACTAAAAATTATGAAGACATAGTAAAGGATGCACAATCGTCATTAGTTAAACAACTTTAAATCAAAATAAATAATTGAATCTTTAAAAATAGATATGAACTAATTTATTGAACGAAAAGATGATTTCTTAGATAAAGAGGATGGGTTAACCACCATTTTTAATAAAATTAATGATTTTATTTGAATTAACAAAGAAAGTGACTTACAAATTTCAAATCGACTGATTTCGGAAAATATACAATATTTAAATATCTAGAATGAAACACATTGTAAATAAGGGTTGAACGTCTTACTATTTTTTTTTTCATATTTGTTTTAAATCGGGATTAAATGACACATTTGAAATTAAATAAAATGTAGTTGTTTTACACGATTATTTTTTTTTTTTTTAATAATAAATAATTCATTTTCAGTAGTAAGACGACTTAAATTA